CTAAACTTGATAATTTTTGTCCTTCTAATAACAATTCCAAGTAGGTTCCTTGTTTTAAATGTTTGGGAAAAGGACATATGCTTCTGATTGTCCAAATACCAAAACTATGATGATCCATGAAGAGGAAATTGCTGAAGTAGCCGATGGAGATGATGATTCACTTGAAAGTGATCGTATAGTGATTGAACCTGAAAGTGGTTCTTGTTTTGTGAATCGAGTATTGAGTGCTCATGTTGAAGTTGAGTTTTCATTAAAATTAGTGTTGGGTTGTTACCTCACTTGACGGGTCATTACAAAATTCCGTTATGTGTTTCCTGAGGGACTTATCAATTGAAAAGTGCTTCTTTCAACTGTGGTGTTCATAGCATTTGTTTTTCTTTCACTAAAGATTATTGGTCTTGATTCTTTCATAGTCATGGTTCTTGATTCATAGTTGTTAGAAAGGTGGAGCTTTATAATCAAGGTACTCTTCCACAAGTTAGATTTGTGTGTTGATTTCTTGGAGCATATTATGGATATTCCTGTGATTTTTAATCGTGCATAATTCAAGTAGTTGTATGGCACCATCATCTCTTACCACTACCGAATATTTTTCACGAGCAGAGCATTGCAACATGTAATATCAAAATTTTTATTTGAAAAAGATCATAATTCATCATTCTTAGGATATACTTACAAAATTCTTTTTGCAATTTGTTTTTCTGACTGGAAAGATGCCATGTGACTCCATTATCCCGTGGTAAAAAATCTTCAATCATGAATCAAATAATAAATTTAAACAACATAAGAAATTAAGATAACAAAAACGCTCAAAATATTCAAGTGATCAAAAAATATATTCAGACCTTGAAACGTGTACATGAACTCAATAAGAGATCCTGACAGCTCAAACCAACTCTCAGTTCCTCTATGTGCAGTCCAGTACCTTAAATTATTTTACTTTTTTTAAAAAATAATGTAAATAAATAAAAATTGCTCCACATAAAAAAAAAAAACCCAATTCCTATTGGCGAAGATCCAAAAAGATGAATGAGATGAGAATTAAATTTATGACATACGTTCAACTACCTATGAAGAGATCTCAATGATTCAAGAAATTTTATAGAATCAGAATTTTATCCGAAATCCAATTGTGATATTCTGTTAATGGAATGATTTGGTTGCTCCTGAATTGGCTATCAAATTTTGTTTACAGTTTAAATTCAAACTTTTTATCATTTATTTTAATGGTTTTTTTTTGAAGAAAAACATATATATTAACGAAGCTGGAATCGTTTACAGTTTAATTGTTTACAGTTTGATGCATCATTTAGCCATCAAACACGCAAAGCGGCTGGTGCTTGGAAGATACTATCACATCGTGGTATGGTGATGCAAATCAAAGCGGTGGACATAAGTGTGCTTTCTCCTTTTCAAACCGAGGCAATGACTTGTCTCTTGGCATTGAAAGAGGTGTTACATTTAGGGATCACTCGACTTCAAGTTTATACGGACTGTGAAGCTCTGACTGGGGATTTACGGTCTGCTTTAATGCCTTCTGAGGCCCAGGAGGTAGTTTTTTTGTTAGTAACTAGTATTTCCTTATTTCAATCTTGCTCACTGATTAAAGTGAGCAGACAAAATGTTGTACAAGTTCATAATTTAGCATTCCATAGAATGCGATGTAATATGTTAGGTACTTCTTAATTAATATACAAGTACCTTTCAAAAAAAAAAAAAAAAAACGAAGCTGGAATCAGCCAGCACTAAATGACATTAAGTTTGGAGGCGAGGACAAGAGTGTGACCTTCGCCTTACAAGACTTAGCATAAAGAGCAAGATCATGAGCTAATGTATTCTCTAACCGACTAACCCAATATAGGTTGAGATTAGGGAAATTCTGTAAAAGGTTCTTAATATCCTAAATAATTGGGGCGGCCAAATGTGAATCTTCAACTTCGCTGCGTCCGATAAGAATAGCGTTGATAGAATCTTCCACAATCTGAAAGTCATTGAGATCCAAGCTACGTGCAACACGCAATGACTCGTGAAGTGCCAATAGTTCTGCCAATTCCGGATCGGAAACATTTTTTTATATGGGAGATAAATGCATTTCGGAAACTGCCATCTGAATTTGCAATATAAACTCCAATGCCAGCAATTTTATTCCAATGAGAAAGTCCAGCGTCAAAAGATATTGTTACCTTTCCTACCGCTGGTCGGAATACAAAATCCACATTGAACCTGCCCATCTTAACGTTCTCCAACCTCGACCGTTTCCAAGTCGTTCATCATGGAAGTTGTTGACAGAATCACCCTCCACGGCGAACAAGTTTTCTGTGCAAACATTTTACCGTTCCTGGTCTGCCACAGTACTTTGCACAGAAAGCCAAAATATTGAGCTTTATCTCGATCAAGCGCTTGGAAGAGATTACAGAACCATTGCTGAAAATTGTGATGTTGGAAGAGCATGATTATTTCTCGAAGACCTGAGGAATTCCACACTTGTTGTGCAAAGGGGCAAAGAAAAAATATATGGTTGGAACTGTGATCTGAAACCCCACAAAAGCAACACTGCTAAGCAAAATTCAGATGCCTCATTGCTAAGTTTTCAGAAGTAGGCAGTGAATTCCGAAGACATCGCCACAAGAAGTGCTAGATTCTTTGCGGCATAGACAATTTCCATAGCTTTTTCCACTGTTGTGTTGAGGCATTTGAATTCTCAGGATTCGGATTGTGTAGATTCAACGCAAGGTGATATGCCGATTTGGCAGAGTGCTTTACCGAACGATTAGGCGCCCATATATAAGCATCCGATGCCTGTGGATTACCCAATTGAATAGAGAGAATCTGATTGCATACATTTTGGGGAAAGATCTGCCTGATCAGAGCATGCTTCCACCATCCAGTGTCCTCATCAATGAACATACTCACCGTACTATCTTCCTGAAGCCCAGCTGGGGGTGAAGTCACCCAAAAAGGAGCATCCGGGAGCCATTTATCCCTCCAGATCAGAATATCTCGCCCACTTGTTATCCTCTTCCGCACATCAATGTCTATTAAGGCTTTTCCTTCCATCATACTCTTCCAAAGCCACGAAGAATTAGGATTCGAAGCAGCCTGCATGAATGGTAAGTCAGGATGATATCTGGACTTTAGAACTTGTGCAAGCAACGAAGTCGGATTAGTGAGGAGCCGCCATGGTTGTTTGCTCAACATCGCTTAATTATAACAACGTAAATTGGGAAACCCTAACCCTCCCATATCTTTGCTCCGTGACATCGAGTCCCATGAACACCATCGTATCTTTTTTACCTCTCTAGACTCGCCCCACCAGAATGAACTCATCATTTGTTAGATCTCATGTAACAAACAATCCGGGCGTTTGAAATAACTCATAGTGTAAGTAGGAATTGCTTGTATTACTGATTTCAATAAAATCTCCTTGCCAGTTCAGAGTCCAATAATCCTCATGCTCCTTGAGTTTTTGCAGAAGGAAGGCGTTTGCCTCATTAAGATTCACTCTATCCACAACTTCACCCGAATGATCATAGATAATCTCCAATTCCCACACTTTGTCTTCAGCCTCCCGCAAATTTTGGAAGACATCGCCAAAGTGACTTTTATTTCATTCCTTAAGTTTCCCTTTCAATCTTCTCAGTTTCATAGAAAAAGCTAACATTCCACAACCTTGAACTGGCCGGAGCCAACTTTACTTAACAACATGCTCCCGGATTAGTGAACCAAATTCAGCTCCATTAAAAAGGAAAGAAAACCTAACAGTAGAAATACAAGTATGAACTAGATCAACTATTGACTCATGAAAACCTAATGATTTCATAACAAACACTCACAAACGACCACTCAACCCTATCAAAAGGTTTACCCATATCCAATTTGATGGACATTAGACCCTTCCCTCCCTGAGATTGTGACCTCATATAATGATGAGTTTCATATGAAATCAAGATATTATCGGTAATCAATCTTCTTGGAATGAAGGCATATTTTGAAGGAGAGATTATAGAAGTTAAATAGCCCTAACCCGGTTAGCTACGACTTTGGAAGCAAGCTTATACACCACATTACAGAGGCTAATCGGTCTAAATTGAGTAATGAGATCAGACTTTTTAGTCTTGGGGATAAGAACAATGTAGGTATTATTCATGGTGCTATCAAAAACTTTATTACTGAGAAAATTTAAAACAAAAGAAATAACTTCAGAACCAACTATATTCCAATTCTTTTTAGAAAAAGATAGGGCTCATACCATCTGGTCCCGGGGATTTAAAAGAATGCATTTACTTTAGAGCTTTCACCACCTCAATCTCCGAAAAAGGCATCAGTAGCCGGCTATTCATATTATCATCAACCCTAATCCGAATGCGGCTGAGAGCCTGTTGAACATCTCTATCAAGCGGGCATGAGGAGGTAAAAATGTCACCAAAGTACTCCAGAATGATGTTCTCAATATCCTCCAGGGAAGTACGTTCCACCCCATTCTTATCTTTCAGTGAAGCAATATGATTCGTTTCACGCCTTTTGCTGGCATAAGCGTGAAAAAATTTCGTATTGTGATCTCCCTCCTTATACCGTGTTACTTGCTCCTTTGTTTCCACTTAAAATCTTCCTGATCCAGAAGAGATTCCAACTGAGAGTTAAGGAGAGCGAGTTCCTCTCGAATTTCATCTGTGATCACACCAACTTCAATATTTTTAATCCGGGGATTTCAGCTTTTCAATTTTCTCTTGAATACCATGTATTTCTCAGCCTCCCCAGTTCAAAAGTCCAATAGCACATGCCTCCAACCAGGAACACAGATTAGAAGAATTCTGAGACCAAGATTCACTAATGATCCTCTCACAATCAGAAGACTTCACCCACAATTCCTCAAATCTGAATGGCCTTCTCCGCTGGCGAGATCTCTCAATCCTGTTAAGTAAAAACTGGATATGAAGCATGGCGCGATCAGAAGTAAAAGAAGGAATATGAGTGACTTTCGACCATTTAAACAAGTCCCTTCACAACGAATTGCACAAGGAACGATCAAGACGTGCCGTTTGAGTGCGAGGAGCTGCCACTAGCCTTGACCAAGTGAAACGATGGTCACTATAAGCCATGTCATGTAAATTGCATTCTGTAAGAAAATTTCAGAATGATGTAATCTGCCACTCAGCACGTTTTCCAACACCCTAGAATTCAGATTGTAAAAGAACTTCGTTGAAATCACCGCAAGAAAGCCAAGGAAGATCAGGAAATTCACGAAGAGATTTCAACGCGTCCCAACATGCACGATGCTCGCTAACATTTGGCTCTCTGTATACTCCAGTAAGACGAAAAGTACAACCAAAAAGATCCACCATACAATCAATGAGACGATCCGAAAAACTTCGAAGCTGTACATTAATCCCCTCCTGCCACAGTAATGCCAACCCTCCCGATGAACCCACTGAATCAACAACTACTCCAAACAAATTGAACTTTATTTTCAAATCATCAATTATGGACGACTTACTTTTAGTCTTTGATAGAAAGACCAAATGGGGGGACTTAGCACGAATATTATCACGCAGCTCTTGAATTGTACGGGGGTTCCCAAGCCCCCGACAATTCCAATATAGGAGACTCATATCTCTAGGCGGAGCTTGTCCTTCAAGCAGCCTCCGCCTCTGGTAAATTACCATCAACATCACTAGTAACCACTGATTCCTCTACCCAAGCTTCAACAGATGCCTTTCTCCGTTTCCCAACTTCATCTGCCATATCCGACTCAAGTTTCCTCTGAACAGTGATCTCGACCTCTGAGATTTCTACATTCTCGCTGATATGAAGTTTCCGCCTTATTCCTCTGCCCCTTCCTCTACCACTGGAGCTTGCAGAACCACTTTGCACCTTCTTGTACATTGTTAAGGTTTTGGGAGTGCGACGAGCTGGCGAGTCAAAGGCCATTGGAACAGCATGTAGAAACGGGCTCGAAGGAAGGTCAGGGTGTGTAGTAACTGTTTGGTGTGAAACTGGTTATGGTGGGGGGAGAAGAAGGATAGGTTGTGATGGGAACAGATTGGTGGAGATTGGTGAAGGAGAGGTTTGCTCATGAGAACGAAGACAACCATATCCAACGGCAACAAGGTTTGCTGATTAGTGTATGGAGGAGAGGTTTGCAGGTTCGGTTCCAAGTCTTGTTCAAAAAGAAGAGGGTTTCCTGACGGATCAACTAAAGGAGCTGGGAATTCAGGCGGTTGAGAAAAGGTTCAAGCAAAGTTTTCTTGGGGGAGCTAGGCAAGGAAAGTCCCTGAGGACTACATTTCTCCAGATATATGTTTTAAGGGTCATTGGAACAGGCTTTGGCAGGCTCAAAAGGACATCATGAATTAAGGGGGATGGTTTTGAAGGTGCAGGGATGGGAATAGTAACAGAAGTGGTGTTTTTGCATGGATCAACAGGTTCAGGAGGAGTAATGGGTTCTGAATGAATACTTTTTCGGCATTCAAAATCATCACGCTTGCCAGGAGGATGGTATAAAGATGTATTACAAGAATTTGCACGCCCCTCTGAGTTAGATCTTCTACAATTTCCACCTGACGACCCCCTAATGAAGAAAGACGAGCAGTGAAGGTTGTTGCCTTGAGATTCTTGCCAAAGTGGATAACTTTCTCATGAGTAAAATTGCTCAGAATTTTTACTGAGCAATCTTGGTCAACATGGCCAATAATTGCACAAAAATAACAAAAATAACAAAAATCAGGGAGCCTTTCATAACTTAATTCGCATTTAAAAACACATTCCTTGAATGTGACCTCCACATATTGGCAGAGCGCTTTTGTAATGTCAATGGAAACTTGAGCACGCAAACACGCTCTGATAGCAAGTCCATCCTGATCACACTCCGACTCAACAAATTGACCAATCATGTTTCCAATCGACACTGTTGCGTCTTTGTTCATCAGACTATAGGGCAAACCCCGGATCCGAATCCAAAATGGGACCCATGAAAAATCAACTTGATCATTAACATCATCCTCATTGACCTCCGTGAGAACAAAAAGCTGCCGATCGTCCATGGAGATCCCTGTTGAACTCTTTGTAGATCTACTGTAGAATTGAATTTGAAGAACACCATATTTCTGCTTGCATCCATATGATTGAAACCCTGCTGCACGTTCCAGTAGTTGCGAAAGTGATTGGCAACTTCATTATGACTCAGAGTGCGATCCTTTGATGCAATGACCTTCCCAACAAGACAATTACCAGTTCCTGGACTCCTTCCAACCGTTTCAGCCAAAGGAACTTTTTTCGCCTTGTTCAGTGAGAGATTAGCACATATCTCTTCTAGTACCTGATCCATGACTGAAATCAACCGCAATCTAACTGCAAACAGGAGGCAGTGATGAGTAGAATAGGCGCCTATAGATCCCTTAACCGGTGATCAGATCTGTAAAAGACTAAAGCAAAAATTAGGGAAAAAAAAATTATAAAACAATGTAAAAATTTATTTCCTTTATCTTTTCTTTTTTTTTTTTGAAATCTTTGAGATTAGGGTTTTCAAAACAGGCTAGGGTTCGGTGAACCTGGAGGGAATACTACTGGATGTTGGAAATGTTATTGAAAGTTTTGAGACCAGACATAGATTTTGAAGAAAACGAGGAGGATTTGTGTTTTTCAGGACTGATTTCTAAGATTTAGACAGTAATATTGATTGAGAGGAAGAGATCGCCGAACTTGGTGACAACTAGCACTCTAAGGGAGTTCTCATGAGAGAAATCCTAGAACTTCTACACTTTATTTTAATGGTTTTAATTGCTCCTGTACATTGATATTTGTTGTTATCTTTCCCTGTATTGTCTCTAGTAAGTGTATTAGATAAGAAGACTGATAAATAGTTAATATAATTAATTAGGAAAGAAGATAAATGATAACTTTTTTTTTGTGATCTTTTAAGTCCAAAAAATTAAAAATTTGTCACATAGGACTAAATCTATAGGCATGATACTATACCTTAGGTTTTCTCTCTCTAGAGTTTACCTTAGTATAGTAGATCTTGATTAAAATAATTTGCAAAGTTGTTTTGAACTGAAAAATTATCTTAAAAAAAGTTAATGTATTTTATATGTTTCACTTGTCTGTCTATTTGTTTTAGTTTTTCTTGCATTTACTAATGAATCATTTGTTTTGCCTTAACACGACCCATTTTCAGATTTTTCTTTTCTAATCTATGATGCAATGATAGGAGTACCCCCTTAGTTATTTTGATTTAATCTATCTTTGGTCATTAATTTCATTTGATCTACCTTTGGTCATTTTAAATGATTCTCAAATGCTGGCTATAAAAGCTGCATTACCAAATATTATTTTTGAATTATTTTAATAATAGTTGAATTCACTTTAGTTTTTTTTTTCTTTTTGGCATAGTCCATTCAATCATTTACTGTGTTATTCGTCCGTTTTCAAATACTCTCGAAGTCTTTAATAGAATATAATTTACATTCTCATGAGGTCATAAGTGGGTGGTCACCTGTGTTTGAAGTTTGTTAATTAAATGAAAAAAAAAATTATACTCGTATGATGTACTATCCATGATCAAATAGTGATAGTAAAAAAAGAAATTTATGTTTGGTAGGTTTTGCAGTACAAATGACCTAAAGGATCGTATTGATCTATGTGTAAAGAGTAATGATCATCTCCACAAAATAATAGTTACATGTACCGCAATAGTATGTTCCGTTTAAATAAATTTAGCGGTGTTTCTTTTGTCAGCTAGAAATAAATTCAGGAAACAGATTTGAATGCCGCCGGATTGGAGTCAAATATTTACGTATTCATGAATTCAATAATCTTGTTTGGATTTAAGGATTGGAATGGTTTTATTATATATTTTTTTTATTGATCAACCTAAATTTTTCGAAAAAATTTTTTAAAAAATAATCCCAAAATTTCAACCCAAAAAACCTCGTCCTCCAATCTTCAAACCCATGAACCACGGTAGCCATCTAACACCCTCCAAATCCACCCATCAATCACCCTCCAAATCCACCCACCAACCACCACCGGTGGCTAATGTCCTCAAAATCCACCCACAAATCACCACCGGTAGCCAACATCCTCAAAATCCACCAACCATTAGTCTATAGCTTCAACCACCATTAACCAATATGAGAAGAACTCACATAATTTTATATTCATATATTCAAATCAACTAAGAATGAGTACATAACTTTATTTATTTCAGAAAAATGAGTACTTAGTTACAGTTTTACAGACAAACCATTCCTTCTCCCTACCGATAGCAAACAGAAGTGAAATCAATTACTCTTGAAAATTAGCTTCTTTTTTTAATAGAAAGAGGTTAGGACGATTTTCAGGTTCAACTGACCCAAAAAAAACTCAAGGGATATACCCAGGAAGTAGATTTTTAGATCAGCCAGTGCTAGATAGTATAATGCACCCAAGGGGTATACCCAAGGGATGAACATATATACTATCTAGTTCCCTAGTCTCGCTCCTCCCAACATTTATTGCACTTAAATAAAACGGTGATAAGGGCAGAGTATAGTCTAACCCTTGGTAAGTACAATAAAGTATTCCTAAACTCATTTTCGTAATTAAGGGAAGGACCTTTGATCTAAAACCATTAGTCCTTTTACCAAACTAAGAAGCAAACTAAAAAACTCAAAGACTTTGGAATCTCCCGTTGCAGCCATCTTTGCCAAAAAATCAGCAACTGCATGTCCTTCCCTGAAAATGTGAATAATAGAGTATCTTCTTCTTTTCAAAATGCTGCTCATCTCAACCATCTTCAGGAAATGTTTCCATGGAAACCAATTTGCTTAACCAAAGCATCTGCAAGAACCTTGTTATCTATCTGAAGTACTACATTTGAAAGCTGAAGGAGCTCACATTTGCGTATACCAAATAAAATGCCGCATATCTCTGACATAAAACTATCTTCATCTCCAAGATAACCACATTCTCCATAAACAAAAACTCCCCCTCCCCCCCTTATAACAAAGCTATAACTTGCTCCATCCAGGTTTGAAGAACCATCGCAATTTAGGTCAAAGAAGTTTGGACCCGGGGGGCTCCAGTTCACTACCCTCGACTTCCTTCTAGGAAACCGTGATAAATGCAAGCCAAAATGAGTGGAAATGAAGACACTTTCAGCCTCGTTACTAACCTTGAGATCATGTGCAATCAATGAATCCCGGACATTAGATAAGATAGAGTGGATTACAGAATTCAAAACAGGTGTCGTACTTTCAAAGAAGAACTTATTTCGCGCCTTCCAAACCTCCCATAGGATGAATGGTGGGAACAACTTAAACAAAATTCCTTTTGCAGCAACAAAAGATCTTTTCCTCCACCATCTCTTCATTAAGTGAAGGAGACTTGAAGTACCCCTTATATCAACATTCATGATAAGGGAAAAATGCGCCCTAATAGATGTTGTATATCCACAATTATAAAAACAATGCCCCATACTCTCCGCATCTTGCTTGCAGAAGCCACATGTTGATGGGTTTATTCTAATACCAAGGGTATTTAGAACTTTTGGAAATGGAAGCAACCCATTTCACAATCTCCACAAGAAAAAAGAAATGCGAGAAGGAATTTTCCTATGCCAAAAGTTCCTTAAAATAGGCTCAACACTTTGACGACTTCTAAAGGCTTCATAAGCTGCCTTTACAGAAAAAAAAAATTACCTTGGGGAGAACTCTGTCGTATCAAGATGTCTTCCTCAACCGACAATTCAAAATCAACATTCTCCAAAATAGAAAGAATCGGCGACTCAAGACTTCCCTGGAACTCAGCCAAAAGTGCTTCTCTTCTTGCAAAAAATTCCCGAATCGTGAGATTTGGTGAAGGTAGCTAGCCAAGACACTAATCTCTCAAGACACCACTAGATGACCAATTATCAAACCAAAAAGATTTATCACCGCCTCTAATAATAACCTTACAAAGGGGGGCTACCTTAGCATCAATCTTCATTATTCTTGACCATGACATTTTTTCCTTTGCCGAGACAGACAAAGAGAGTATGAATGAGCTCCAAATGCCTTTTTTATTCTTCACCTTCAACCACAGTTTGGCCATTAGCGCTTCAATTACATCATGGAAACTCCTCAAACCTAGGCTATTTTCACAAACCGGGAAAATGACACTATTCCAAGAGCGCCAATGCCGTTTTTTCTCATCACTTGCACCTTCCCATAGAAATTTTTGACATCTCTTTTCTAAACCTTGAATTACTGCCTTAGGAGGGGGAATTTGCCGAGAATGTATGTTTAGGCATGGAGGACAAAACATGCCTAATTAACATCAAACGGCCTCGTAATGATAGTAATTTATTCTTCCAATTCAATAGTTTAGAGTCAAAAGCATCAAACAGAAACTGAAATGTGGATACTTTCTTCCTTCCATGAAATAATCGACAACCAATGTACACAAAGGGGAATGTACCTTTTTGGAAGTCCAGTGTTCTCTTGATCACTTCAACCCTTCTCGGATTGCATTTATCTGAAGTCACAAAAAAACTTTTTTTACGACTGACTTTTTGGCCAGAAGCAAGCTCATGTTGCTCAAAGAAAACGTTAACTTCTTTAAGAGACCCCTTCAATCCCTTTGAGAAAATAATCAAGTCATCGGCAAAGCATAAGTGAGACACCACCCTAGATCCTGCCAGAGTACCATAAGAAGCAATCTTGCCAATATCCACTAAGGTCTTTAACCTAGAAGTCAATGCTTTGGAGACAAGTGTAAACAAATAGGGAGATAAGGGATCCCCTTCTTTTATCCCCCTCGAAGCTTGAAAGAAGCCAACCGGGCTACTGTTAATCAATACTGAGAACCAACTATTTTGTAGATTATTTAAAATTAACCTAACAAAATGTTGTGGAAATCCAAACTTGAGCAAGACAGCGCGAAGAAAGCTCCATTTGACCTAGTCAAATGCCTTATTCATATTAACTTTAATCACTATATTACTCCCTTCGGCCTTGTGATCAATAAACTGATATAAGTCTTGAGCTAACAACACATTATCAACAATGTCACGACCAGCCAAAAAAGCATATTGCTCCTCAGAAATTAATCTTTGCAATACAAGCTTCAACCTTTCTGTGAGAACCTTTGTAAAAATCTTATTCAAGAAATTACAGAGGCTAATAGGCCGGAAGTCAGAAAAAGTGTTTACCACGGCCTTCTTTGGAATAAGCGTAATCATAGTGCTTGCAATAACTCGTGGAATTGGCACCCCAACCATAAATTCTTGACAAGGAGCTAAGAGATCATCAGTAATTATATTCCAACATCTTTTATAAAAGACACCACCGAATCCATCCACCCTTAGAGCACAATCTTCGTTCAAGCCAAAAACAGCCCCCTTATCCTCTTCAAGAAGTAATGGGCGCAGCAAAGATTGATGATCATCTTCCTCTAATGAGCACAGTATATGGTCCAAGAAATTTCCATGAAAATGCATGCTGGTATCACTTCCTTAAAATACTAAATACAATCACTACAAGCAAGAATACATAAGAATTGTGACCTCCAACTTGACTCCACTGCAATTCGAGGACTTGATCCAATACACTTGACTGAAATGGCAATGAGGCTTGTTGCCTGAACAGATTGATGGTAGGTAATGTCAAATTGAGAGTGATTTTTGGTCGTTAGTGCATTTCAATCTATATATGGATCAATTTTCCCAGTTCTTTATCCAGTGCTAAAAGAGATTCCAATTTCCCATTTCCCAACATCTGAATTCAATATACTTCTGGCTTAAAGAAAGAAATAAATGGAGTCTAGTGTTTTGACGAACCAAAATAAGAAAAACGTTCCCCTTTTCCTCCAATTATTGAAATAAGACTCCTTTCCCATCATCCTTTTTTCACAACAAATCAAATTCATTCCTTTTTCTAGAGCTCATTCGTTGAGATCCCCTATAACTCCATAAAACGCCATGCCATAATGATCCTGTATCCTTACCAAGGTCACTAAATCCCTTTGTTTATGTTGCCCTTAAATTTGTATCCTAAGGTTTCATCATCACTTTTGTCAACACCCAATCAATTCATCATCAGATCTCCAAAGCCCAAAAAAACAGGGGAAACCAAAACTACAACAGTTTTGCCAAAGCTCGTCAATCTGGTCTGGACATACGTTACGCCATCGTCCATGATAGGTTCCCGCTGTCGTTTGACCGGTCCCTGAACCACGACCAGTTCATGGAAGGCAAAATTCATGTGTTCTCTGCTCACATTGATGAACTCGTCGGGAACTTATTGAATTCAGAACCAAAATCACCTCCAACCTGCTTGATTGCTGATACATTCTATATATGGGGATCTACATTTACCACCAAAAATAAACTCATCCATGTTTCTTCCTGAACAGAACCCGCTTTGATTTTCACTCTGTATTATCACCTGCACCTGAACCTCCTCAGGAAAAAATGGCCAATTTACATCTCATCGTGAATCAACAGGAACCAAATTTAGATCAATTTTTCTTCATACCCTTTACATTATTACAACTAAAAAGATTACATTTTTTTTCTTCGACAGATAATCACAAGGATACGATAGATTATATATTGGGGGTGAAAGCAATTGAGCCAAGTGATCTAATGTCATACCTTCAAGCCGACGGCATATGGCCGGTGGTGCACCAGGAAATTTACAAGGCTTTTGAAGATGTGAAAAGGGCGGACATGATTATTTGCAACACCATCCAAGAGCTGGAGTCGGAAAACATCTCGGCCCTCCATGAGAATCAACCCACATACGCCATTGAGCCCATTTTCCCATATGGCTTCACCAAAAGCAGCGCAACCATGAGTTTATGGGCCGAGTCAGACTGCACTCAGTGGCTCAACGACAAACCCACCGGGTCAGTTATCTTGTACCAAATTGAATTGATTGTCGGCAACCATTAGGACCAATTTAGTTGGACAGGGTGGAAAAACAAAAATATGGTTTAAAGATTGGTTCAGAATAAGTAACGAAACAAGTATGGATGCAGTTATATGTATTTATAGGATCAGTGAGGCATCAAGTTTTGATCAATCAATAGATCATGTAATCTTATTTAGCAACGATTTCCTATTTTGCAATTCAAACTGTTAGATATCTAGTGATAAGATTTGTTGAGATCATGTAATCACATATACACGGCCGAATATGATTTGATGTTCAACTAAAATCATAAAATTTGTTGAGATTTGATATCTAATCTCACAAAGCATCTCTGAATGACAGTTAGATTAGAGTTCTAGTTCTAGTCAAAATTGAAATCCGGATTCTAGTTTCGTTCATAGAACAGAATAACGTGGGATTCGAAGAATTTTCATTTATTTTTTCATTTAAACCTCAAAAATATAGAGAATTGCCACGTAGGATTAAATCCTATGTGGCATAGGGAGATTACATTATGTTCTCTCTCTCTTGTTTTTGCCTTAGTATAGTACTAGATGTTTGGCCCAGGCAGATGCCCGGGCGCCCCTTCTAAATTACTATTTTATTAAAATCTAATTGAATTACTTTTGAGGAATTAATTTGGCGTATATATCATTTATGCTATGGTTTGGGGCTTACAAAAATATACCTATAAATCTGAGGTTATAAGGGAATAATAAATAATTAGTTTATAAGGCATTATTCTTAATTGCTGGATTTAGGTTTTTTTATTTTTTGTTTATATTAAGCCTACAAAACTGTACGATTGGACATTTGAATTTGAATTAATATATCCATTCGTTTGAAATGTAACTGATTCTTATTTGTAGAATTTTTTCATTGGATAAGTGTCACATTTAAAACATGTGTTTTTTTTTTTAAAAAAAGAATTATATAGCTTCTAATTAAAAGATATTTACACGTGGCAAAAAAGCTTCTGAAATCTGAAATATGGTGCATTGGAGCCAAAACAGATGCATACGTAGTTGCCACATAAGATTCATGTCTTCTGCTTTAATAGGGTAAAAGGGATATCTAAAAGGTAAAGTAAACGTCTCTTGAGCCTAGAATTTGAGCTCTAATTGAGCAATCCTTCTGGTTGAGTGGTTTTAATCCAACGGATTTTGTTTGATGGTCACAACATTAATAAAGGTCAAATTTGTCATTGCAAAATACAATTTTTTCCCCTTTTCTCTTTTGGCAAAAAAAGTTGGCGTAGAAAACGACGTTGTTTGGTTCTATTGCGTGTCGTTTTTGTGGTGCTTTTGAGAAAATCCCCATTCTTCCTTTCCCCTAATTTTGAACGTCATTTTGTACTATTGTTGGAAAACCCCCAATTCTTCTTTTCCCCTGAATTTCCCTTTTGGCTAATTTTTCTTCCTCCTCTACCTCGGTCAAATCTCCTCACTCCTCCTCCGCGTCGGCAAACGCCTTTCTCCTTCCCTTAATTTTTCAACGCCGGCAACTCTTCTCCCATTTTCCTTCTCCTCCTTACCTTTGATTACCCTATCCCTTATACTACTTCTTTTTCCACTTCTCAAGTTCCCAATTCCTTATATTATGCTCTCTTCTAAAATATTAAAAACAGCCATATGTTTAGTGTGTGTATGCATGTTTATTATCTTGGTCACTCTCGATTCTATGGGTCTTGCATTCAATTATGTTTATTCATCTCATTTGAACCAGGTTAATTCCTCATTTGAGAGAAATCCACACCACCTTGTAGTTTATAAACCTTTCATTTAATTTTATTCAATTCTATTCAATTGGGAATTATTAGATTTTTAGACAATCATTCCTGGAGGTATGGGAACCGGCAGTGCGGGTTGGATATTCTTCCTCCAATAAGCTGCTGTTGGGCCAAATTAAAACAGTGAAATCAACAATTTCAGAAGGTGAAATTTTTGTGAAAACTCCAACCCTTTGAGGAATTCGGGTTTGAATGCATATCGATATGTTTTAACTTTCATGATTTGAGTGGATACCTTTTAGATAGATATCATTGCAAAAGTCTCAGACCAGTTGTAACATTTTAACATTAATTTTATATTTATCAGTATTCTGTTTTCAATTGGACTCTAATTTCATAAAGTAGAGTTTTATATCAAATCTAATCTAAAATAAAGAGGATAATTTGGAAGTTTAACCCCAGGTTTTCTTTTTGTTATTTGCCACCTTACGTAAATGAAATTCCACGTGGATGACAATCTAGAAGTAGGCAATTGCTATCTGGTAAGTTTTTGGTTAGAAGTAGGAGTAGGAAATTACAATATCACTTATAGTATCTCTTCATTTAGGACTAAAAATTCGGCACAAATAGAAGCAGGAGTTCTTTAGTTTTGTGCAGTTTATCTTGGATTTGAATTCTAATGTGAATTGCCTGACAACCTAAATAGATATGCAATTAGAACGTCATATATTTTTTCACCACATTTCCAAATCTCTAAAGTTTTCTTCTTTTCAATTTCCACCAAAGTAAGGTACTTTTTAAGGTTTAGATGTTTAGATTTTTAGTCATGTGCATTTCTGTATATTCTTACATGGCAAGTAGAAGTACATTGGTGCCGGGAATCTGTGGAATCATCAACAGGGGAAGCAAACAGTGGTGGCACAAGAAGGAGAAGCCTAAAAGTCCAAGAAGGAAAAGCGTGTAGCAAAGAGGACAGCAATCAGAAAGGTTTATTCTTCACCTTGTAATGTTTCTTAATATAGATTTCTATAATGTTTTTCATTAGTTTGTCGGCCTTTCCAGCTTTTTTTGTTTTACTTCTGATACTGATGTTGTCGATAGCTATGTAAACATTCTTCACTTTGTGCTTTTAGGTGAGTGTTTAGTTGTTTTGGGATCTGCTCCCTAATGCCAGCCAATGATACCAATCTCTATCGTCACAACTCAGTGCAAGGTAGTTTACTTTCGTAAAACTTTGCAATTACTGATATTTCAATGAACTGGATTAAATTGAGTTACTCGTGATTAGTATTGGACAACGATTGGAGTTTTAATTTTTATGTTTTGTTTGTTTTAATAAAAGTTTTGATGTAATTATTCTTATCATTTTTGTTTGGGTAGCTTCCCTAGAAAAGCTGTTGGAGTGAGATTTGGCAGAGGTGCTTCTGTAGAAGCTGTCCAGCTAAGGTGTCCAAGGTTGTAGTACATTTCAATTGAAGTTCTCGATTGGCTTTTGCATGTACAGGTGTAATGAAAACTTGATTTTGTTTAAATTTGAGTTCAAGGTTGACCCAACTAGTATTCCATGAATGAAACAGTTCTTAAATGCTAAAGTATGAATTTGTGTATGTTTATGTAGATGATAGATTCAATCTCTGATATAGAGAAATATTGGTTTCCTTTGTGGTTTAAGTTAGTGGCAGTGTACAAAAGAAACTACATGTTTGAAAATACACCGACGTCAATGAACAAGAAATAAGTTTGTTACATCTTACATGTTTTGTCGAGAAAGAGAAATGACTTCCTCTCTGAACACTTCGATAGTAATATAAACAGTGTTCGTTTGGGTTTTTTTTGTTTTGTTTTCATATGAGATGAGGAAATGATTATCATTTGCATGGAGACGTGGATACGAGAGTTCTACCTATAGATTCTTGTCCGTCTTGTTACAATTATTAGTTCCTATTTGTATTTTGTAGCTTAGGATGAACAAATTCTCTTATAACTTTTCATCTGTGAGTCAGTATATGCTGAATATATATGGTATAGGAAAGGAAGGTGTCTAGGGATAATGGTAAGAGCAATAAGAAATAGTGGCAATGACGGCCTTTTAGTTGCCCGTGAGCCATTATTTTTGTAAATTCTATTACTGATAACCTTTTTTCCTAAATGGAGTTCAACAGGCTAGTTGCTGATAGATGTGGAAAGAGTTCGAGGAAATGGTGAAAGCATTACAGCAAATCCTCATAGAGCAACTGTTAAAAAGAATTACATGTGATTAAGACTACAATGTTGAATCCTAATACTTGGACAGCTAGATTACAACGAGAACCACTGAAGCGGAAAACGAGAAACAACTGAAGAAAGCAAACACTACAGTTTAGTATGTAACCTTAACAATCATTTGCTTCAGAATACTTCTTAGTTTGCTGAATTTAGGCTCTCTTCTGTTGACTCGCTTTGGACCGTGTTTATATTTAATCTTTTCATTTCAACCTGGTAGCACAGATCATTCAACCCGAGAGATCAATCATCATTTCATTAATAGAATGCGTCGCGCGAATGATAGTACTAGTAGATATTAAGTAGCTGTTAGGATACTTACTACCCCATACTAATAATTGACGTGTTAAATTTTGATCAGATACTCTTTGACTGAATCATTCAATAAAAATCACAACTAGATTACATAATTTTCCACACACAAATATGTAATATATATACATATATGTGCATGGGTTAAAACAAGAACTTTAGAAGAGTGAACAAGTAAATGGAATAATGGACTGTTTGACCAATGGTTCTACAACATCTTCCTCTCTTTGTCCCATACCTATTTGAGTCTGACATTATGAACAACTAAAATCAATATGGTGAATAATTCAACGTAATATTTAATATTTTTACAAAAAAAATAACCATATTGATCTTTTTGATATTTGTTAAAAAAAAAAAAAAGTCAACATCATTTTTTGTACAAATATCAAAAAATGGATTTTTGACTTGAGCAATCCGTATTTTTTCTCCTTATCTCTAAATGTATATTTTAAGTAGCGGGTAATGAACAGTTTAGACTGACGAGAAAACCTTTTTATTTCGATCTTAGTGGCGAAATTCCAATTGCAAACCCCGCGTAGTTCTGCTATACTGTGTCAAATTGCAGCCTCAAAGTTACGTTTGATTTAGAGATTTTGGTATCGAGACAAATAGTTGAAACTACGGTAAGTGTTGATTTTCATACTCTCTGCTTTTCTTTTAAATGATTGGGGAACCTTTCTTTCTTTTTCTTTTCCTTTTCTTTTTTGGATGTTTATAATGGAAGTTTTATCCATGATTTGCTTTTGGAATTCGATGGAATAATTTTCATTTCAAATGAAGTTAGGTTTTTGTCTTCTGGGTATTTGATTGTCTTTTTCATGTGTTATCATCTGGAATTTTCAGTTGTATGATCTTTGTAGGACTTTGTCAAAACTAATCAGTACCGAATAACGAAAGGTGATTCGAAGTTGAGGACTAGCTGTTATCAGGAATTTTAGTCATGGAGATTGATAATCCCTTCTGGATTCGGTTAGATAAATTAGGGAAGCAATAGATTTGCTGGAAATTTCTTGCAAAAAAAGGTGCATTTGCTTTGAAATATGGGGGAAGTGAAAGCCAAGCTTGTAAGCAGCTCAATTTTTATTGAGGATTAGATGAATTAGATATCATGTGATCGCCTCTGCTCTTGACTTGAGTGCAGATTCTTACTGTTGATTTGGTGAAATGCACTGTAGACTTTCTGCTTGGATCTTGTATTTCTCCCAAGAATTTCCGGGGGTTCCTTTTTTCTTCTTGCTGCATATCCATTTATATTCCAACCAATAAAGGAAAATTAGCCTTCCTTTTTTCTGTCTGGGACATTGTAGATTCTCTGTTTGGATCTTGTATTTCTCCCAAGATTTTCCGGGGTTTTTGTTTTTCTTCCTGCTCCATATCCATTTATATTCCAATTTAGGAAAATTAGCCTTCCCTTTTTCTGTCTGCTAACAGCAGAACAGAAAAACTAGGAGCTCCATGTTAAGAACGAACTTATTCTTAAGGAAAGACTCAAAATGAAGATAAATCATACGGTATCTGCCCCATTCATCATCAATTACCTCTATGTATTGGGAATTTTCAACTCCTGTTGATTCTCTGGCATTTGGAACCTATTATTGCACCATTTCACCTGCTTCCTTGAAATTTTTTTTCTCTATTTCTTTATTTTCATTGTTCTCTGAATTCTCCTTATCTGAATTTCTGTTGTTATGGAGAGGAAAAGGGCACTTGAGGTTTTTTGTTTGTATTTTTGTTTGTTTATTTATTTATTTATTTTAATGATTGGCCTTGTTAGTAAAGTTGTTCATGTGGTGTAGGACACAGAAATCTTTGTGCAATACTCAGAAACAGCGTTTTGCCAAATCTTTGTCACAAAAAAATGTCTCAGTCTGCGGGGGGACTTAAAATTTAAGTAGGACTGCAATATATCGTTAACCTATGCCTTTTGCGGGCCCTTGAGTTAGTATTCAAGTTGACCAGAAAACTTATTGGTTTATTCCACTATCTGTGGTCAGGTGTATGGTGGATCTTATCTTGTGAAAGAATAGAGAAAATATCATTTGGCTTGAAAACTTGGCAATCACTTTTGAACTTTCTTGATGTTCTGTCATTCAGCTTCCCAAGTTTTCACTTGAAAGAAAACACTCTTGGAATTTGACACAAAGCATTTCTGCTCTCCTGTAGCCTGTAGTAAGGCAGAGAGACTTAGGTTAACGGCTTAACGGCTTAAGGCTGATCGGGTTGGAGACTGTTCCAAGTGGGTTATGAACAAGACTAGCCCAAGTCCATTTACTCCAAGCCCCATCCTTGCTAATTCTCTCACTGCCTGCTGACAGTCTGCCAATGACGACTCTGTATCAGGAAAGAGAGGGGGACAGCTGACAAACACAGCCTGTCTCGTCTTCAGATCAGAAGGCCATATAATCTACAAGGGGCCTCGTGCCAACGCCCTCTAGTCCTTTTTGAGCTGTGGATTCTGGAGTCAGATAAAAAAGGATTTGTGGTTTTTTTTTGCAAGAGATTCATTTTCCTGAGGGATGCCACCTTTGAAGAGATATGTTCTGAGATTCTTCTTTTCACTGAAGTATATCACTGCTAATATAGTGGACAGGAACAATGGTCATATTGTGGCATCTGCATCATCTGTTGAACATGATCTGAAAAAGACATTCGAATGTGGCAGATTCTGTAATGCAAAGGCAGCTGTAACTGTGGGAGAAGTGTTGGCAATGAGACTGAGGGTAGAGGGTCTTGAACAGGGACAGGGAAATGGCATCTATGTTGACGTGAACGAAGAGGTCGAGAAAAAAGGTTTTAAGAATCAGACCAAGGTCTGGGCAATAGTTAACGCACTAAGAAACAATGGAGTTAAGCTCGTTCTCAATGATGATGAAGATCAAGATTCACAATGTAGCTATAGAAGATGACATTATCTCCGGCTAGTCATTCCACCATGAAATAGAATGGTCAAGCTTTACAGAGCAGGTGGATCAAAAATGCTTCTTAGCTACTAAACCTCTCTGTATATTAGGTTGCTGTCAACTCTGAAATTGGCGACTGGAAGGGATAGTTCCTGATGATTAGTGCTTTCAACCCGTAAAAACGATCTTTGTTTCGAATAATGGGACAAAAGCATTATTATTTCTCAGTAGTCTAGACTTTGGTGAACATAGATTGACAACTTTGCTAGCCGTTGAAGCTCACACAAAAAAGCTGAGTTTGTCACATTAAAAAATAACGAGAAAAAGAGAGACTTAGGTTTAGGTGCTTGTAGCCTTTGGTGTGGTTCTCTTTCTCGTGTTTTGTTTAACAACCCAGCCCAGGATCAAGCATATTTATTGAGTAAAATTTATTAATGCAAGGTATTTCAAAGAATTTTTGCATCATTTTTATGATTATTGAGGGCGCATAGAAAAGATTCTCATCCTCTTCACAACACTAGAGCAGTGGTGATAAGTTTTATGATTAAATTAACCTAGACAGAAGCTCTTGACTGTTGCATCTTTGCCATCAAAAGGTCTACTAAAAAATGTGGTTTGACGAATTCTCTTTGATGGTTGAGCGTCTTGTTTTGTTCCTGAAGAACTGTTTCTGTAGTAAACTTAAGATGTTTTTTGGCTTTGAAGGTGAATATTGGGTTGAAAACTTGCTCGTTTGCTGAGATTTACAAAGATCAATGACTTTGCTGCCATCTTAAATGATTAATTTTTCCATCTTTTTATGAAAGTTCTTTCGTAACATGAATTAACGGATGTAGTTTGTCGAGGAAGTACATTTGACTTTACCTCTGAGGAGAATTTGAAGCAAAGCACTATGGCTTATGAGATCAGCGAGCAAAAAAGTAAGTTTACTGCATTATGTAAATAGATTCTCATGGCTTTAATATTTCTGGCTTGTTTCATTACTCTCCATTATTGATGGTGTCTTCTGACCCTCCCTCCCTCCCTCCCTTCCATCCTCTCTCTCTCTCTCTCTCTCTGTATGTGTAATAATTGTGATGCAATGGTGCAACTGCTGTTGTCCCAGTTATAATGCAGGTTTTGGACTAGTGATTTGTTGATGTTATAGTTATTTTATGTCCATGATATTTTTCTTAAAACGCGTCCAATTTCTGGTAGAATTATAATGAGCAAAATGAATTTGTTGATGAACAAAAACATCAGGGACTTCTTTCTGATAGAAATATAACAAAGTGCGAAACTTTGTTACTTATTCTTACCCTAAGATATTATATAGGTTTAAGAACAAGAACATCAGGGACTTCTTCCTAGGTCAGAAGCTACTAGATCTCATTGAAAATGTAAGAGATGCTTATCTCCCCAGCAATGGAATTATGTAAAAAACCAACAGGAACTACATAACAAATCAACAGAAAAATCTGAAATGAATTTAAGTATTGAATTCTCTCTTTCGGTAATTTTGTGGCAACATACTTCAGTTGGGAGCTTTTTCTTCTTTTTCTTTCTGTTAAAGGGGCAGGGCATATAATATTTTATTCACATTGATCTTGTCTGTACAGTATGGTTAAAGGGGCAGTATGTTAGGTCGGGGAACAGAGATGGGGCAGGGGACAAATTTTATTGAATCCACGGGAATATATGGTGGATCAATTGAGTTTCACGACTCCACTATGCATCTGAACATTAATTATTTAATGGAGGGGTAAAGTTGATGTTAATTTTCTGAACTGTTCCAAAAAGGTGTTGTTGGTTTTTAAGATTCATAAATTTGAATGCACAGTCCTTTTGTAGATGGTTATAAATTGAGTTAGAACGTTGAAAGAGGTTTCAAAGGCTATTATCTAGCGGACCTGGTAGTATATTTGGAACGTTGTGGATGTCCAACATTTGGGAGGAATGCGATGCATTTACATATAATTAATTGCGTGCCCTGTGCTTGAGCCTAAGCAAAAATCAAACTTTTCAGCCCGCTGCTCTCATTGGCAGGTGTTACATGCTTGTTAGTAGATATAATGCTTGTGATATGGTGGTTCCAAAAGTCTTGGATGTCGTACCATTTTCATGTTTTCTATAATTGTCCTCTCTCTCTGTCTCCGTTCTTGTTGCCATGTCTTTGAATTGTCTCGAATCTAGTTGGAATCAATGATCTTTATTATTGATTCACCCTTGCAGAGATTGGTGTGGGACTTGTTGGATTTGGCATCCTCTTCTCATTTCTTGGCATGATTTTGTTTTTCGATAGGGGCTTACTTGCTCTTGGAAATGTAAGACCTTAAGTGTTTCAATACCAAGTTTCTGAGAGATTTGTAAATTGATGTATGTTGTAATGTAGTACACCTCTTTGTAGATTTTTTGGTTAGCAGGTGTGGGCCTTTTACTGGGTTGGCGTTCCACTCTGCAACTGTTTACAAACCGGATGAACTACAAGGTATTGCTGAGGAACCTGCACGTTCCTGTGTGCTTGTTTTAAATGAAGAACCTACATAAGTTTTTCCAGAAAGTATTCTGTGAGTCGCTTTTCAGTATGCTAGCTAATCTCTTCAAGGAACCTGCATGTTCACTTTTCTACCTCTATCTCTATTCATTTCTACACACGTCCTTTTTGCTTCCAATCTGCCTAGTTCTAAATATTTTCTCGGTCTAACAAGTTCTTTGCTTCTTTCTTAGTGAATTAGTGCCACTGCTCCTAAAATGTTCTTTCATCTTTGAAATTTCCACTTTGGTATATGAGTATATTAACTATTTATTGTGACTTTTGGGTCAAGTCTCCCTTGGGTGTTTGTATGATTGGTCAGTAAGACAATCTTACATTTCTTTAGACCAGACAATATTTGCATGTCGTTCAGATGAAAAACACTCAGTCATAAAATGTATGTTTTTGCTTTTTTCTTCAAAATGGGCAATAGTTGCATTTTAAAAGGACGTTACTTTTGTTTTTTGTTGCAGGGATCTGTGTCATTTCTTGTTGGGATTTTCCTCATTTTTGTTCGTTGGCCGATTGTTGGTATTGTTATGGAACTATATGGCTGCATTCTTTTGTTTGGGTTAGTCCTAAAGCTATAATCTGAATAGTTCATCCTTTCCTCTCCTCCAACAAAACCAACAACCCATGGGTGCTAATATGTTTCACCTTTATATGTCTTCTCTCAGTGGATTTTGGCCATCTGTCAAGGTTTTTCTCTATCAGATTCCTGTATTAGGGTGGCTTCTGCAGTATCCTTCTTTGGTGAGTAAACTAATAAAATTTAAACTCCTTGTGTGTGTGGCGGGCTCTGTTAATATAATACTTGAAGCAAACTCAGGTGCATCTTTTTTAATAGGGTATACTACATGTTCTTGTGGATATTATGTTTTGCAAGATTGCAATGATACTTATTGTTCTGCATCTCATAGTTTGACTGGTGCTTATTGCATTGCAAATCCTATGATATACACATTGGGATACTGATGCATGTTGTAACTTCTGTCTTTCTAGTGCGATCTAGTTACAGTTATATATTTTATCATCTTGCCTTCATGTACTATTGATGTAATTTCCCTTTTAATTTTTTGTTATTTGCAATTTGCATACCCTTGTGCTAGATTAAACTCTAAAACTCTTATTCAGTTATTTGCACGAAGCATGTTGATAATGTATCTACACTGATACTGTGGGGTCATATCTGGAAATTTGTGTACTTCAATGAAAATATTCACCTTAGCTGCACATTATGCAACTAGGACTTTCCCATTGTTAATGTTTCTTAACTTCGCATTAAAGCTTAAATCCTATCAATCAAAATCATCATTAGCTCCAGATTTGTCTGCCAGAATTTGACAAGTCTGTTAACTGCTTTTCTACCATTAGTTTTGCCACTCCCAAATTATCCATTTCCATTAACTTTAGACCTGTTGATTTCATATGAATTTTTTACTTTTGAACCTCATACCATAGACACTTCATTATACTTGGTAGTCAAACTCTAAGAAATGCCTTCTACTGGATGATTATAATTTGGAGAAATGAGGCCACAGAAGCCAGCCATAGTTTTTCTTTTGTTCGATAATCAAGTTTAAGTTGAGAAGATATTAAATAATAAATTATGCTGAGATTGTTACCCCTGTATTTCAATACAGAGAGGCTGTTTAAGTAGTACGACCCAAGATACATTGCTGCATTGATATAAATACTGGTGTCCAATAAATATGGTCAATATCTCTAGAATTGTGATACAATTGCTTTTTTTTTGATGCCCTGCTTTTGACCCTAGATTCTCTAGTTGTTGTTGGCTTGACAATAATGTTCAATCGTAAATTCAGAAGTGTGAGTTATATTAGGTAGTAGAATATTAGATCTTCGACATATTGTATCTGCCTCCTTTCGCATTAGTGCCACGGCTATTGGTGCATGAATGTTGTTTTTTCCCATCTGTTTTTCAAAAAATTGTTGGCATTACTCTCTGACACGTGTGTGAACACAATATGTTAAACTATAGATTTAGCAAAATCACTACTTCATCTTGGATTTGGATTTAGGAAGTACTCAATATCTTTCTGCTATTAATCTTGAGTACCGAAAGTAATGTAAACAGTAAAAAGTCCTTGCACAAGGAACGGTATCTCAGGAGAGCTATAACCACTATATTTTCGGTGTAATCGATCTGAGTATTTGTTGATTGATAAACTTTTATATGCTCCTTCTTGTTAAGATTTACTGCATGGATGTCTTACTCTTTCTTTGCAAGTTCAGATTCTTAACCATTTGGGAAGGAGCTCTGGTTAGCAGCTGCCAAAGTTCACTTAACTGACTTCACAAATCTCCCAGACATGAAAGTAGGATGCAAATGCGGGTTTTTATTCTGCGTCAAGACATCATGTTCCTTGCCACCTCCCATTCCCAGGTTTCGGTTGCATTTTCAGAAAATTAAAGGGTGTTTTGAAGTTTTTGTCATCCTGAAGCCTAAAAATCTGTCTGATGCAACAGTTTGTTAAGCCAAAGTTAAGTGACATGAATCTTGTCGCAATGCCGCTTTTACTTAAATGTTAGAAATCCAAAGACCCTTACGAAGTATTGAAAGAGGCAGATAATACCGCAACCCGAAGCCTTCTTCATTCCTCTTCCCTGTGCCCTATATATAGTTAATAATCAGAATTTGATACTCTCCATTCCTAAATACATCTTAAAGAACACCTAAAAATACGCTCTGAAAAAACGATTCAAATATAAGTGTGATGAAGTCATATTTGTAAATATGAAATTTGATAAGTAAATTTTAACAGATAGAGTCAAACATATTGTCCTTCAATTATTCATGTTCTGCTGAAAAATAAAATAAATAAAAGCGGTAGCAAAAAAAAAAAAAGAGAGAAAGAAAAGGACAAAAGGATCGAAGTACCTGAAAACTGATTTTGGAGGATTCAATTGGTACTAAAACTAAGGTTGAGGGCTCGTATTGATCCCGAGATTTTTGCCCGAAGCCAATATCAAAAGTAGCTTAGTTCGAGAATTTTACTTTTAACTCCTTTTTTATTCCAAAATAATTGAAAATCAGTAATGATGAATAAGAACCTTATGTTTCTCTCATGCAAAATTCATTCTTATAGAAAACATCACGCCATTATTTAAGTCATTCTTGACTGAAGTCACAAAGCAGCTATAATTTGGGAGAAGCAAAGTTTTGCTATTCAACATCACAAAGCACCAAAATAACAAATGTTTCATGTTAATGAAAAAAGTTACACTATTCCTTTACCAATTAGGCATGGATATACAAAACGATATTTTAATTAACTGAAACCACCATGTCAAATGAAATAAAGAAGATACCAAGCCAAAACTTGGTGTTGCAAAAATGGTTAGAGAAATTTGAAATATTGTGAAAGATTCATTCTAAAGAAACTATTTCTCTCACAGCATTTTTAAAAAAAAAAATTGATCAGAGAACTATTTTTTATCGCAGGAATAAACCCTATGCACCGAGATGTCTAAAACGAACGGCAAGCTAGAATTAAAAAGTAAAATCATGAATCAAGCACACATGTAAGATCTTTATTTGGATTTCAAACTCTATCAATAAGCAGTGTTCTGGCAAAGACTCAATAAGGTAATTGCACAGCCTCCTTGCCTAGATTATCCCCTTAAGTGTTAAGGACAACAATACTGAAATTTTATGATTTTTTTTTCCAATTTAAAACTGACGGAGATGATATGAAGGTTTTAAGAACCACAACACATGAGAGAACTTCTCATTGCGCTTTAAATTTAGCATATGGAAATAAAAACAAAAAAAAAAAAAAAAAACACATCTTTGTACGGGAAAAGAGGAAGTACAATTAACTTGTATACAACACATTATCAATTGGAAGAGAAAAAGATCTTCCTCAAATGATCAATGATTCTCTGCATGAATCGTTGACGAGTTGTTCCGTATGTCGAGAGAAAAAGAGGCACCCATCAAACTTAAACCTCGAAAAACTCAAATACTTTGATCCTGAATCCTGCCAAGAAGAGAAGGAATCGTTTCTTTCTATTATTGTTTTACTCGTGCAGACGAAATTATTGTGTAAACATATGCCAACTATGTATCATTAATTTGGGCATAATTCAAACACTGTTGATCTATGAAGTACTGGAAAACATGTGGCAATTAAGTATTTATATACTCCCACTGTCTCAAAATTATTATCCAGTTTGAAATTTCACTTTTAGTACATTTTGAACTAAAAATAGAAACTCAAACTGGACATATTAATGGGATGGAGGGAGTACTAGTTTACGAGCCCCGGCAGCGTTCACAAAATAATACATAACTACAAAAAAGTAAAAATGTACTATCTCTATTGATTTTATGCGTCGATTCAAGTTGAACTCAAGATTTTCTTATATCTTTTGTACCTCATTTCAAATGCAACATTATATGGTTTGTTTGGCAAAAATTACCACAATCATTATAAAAAAATAAAAAAATAAATTCCCTAAAAGTTCAAAACTTAATCCATTTTTTTGGTGCAGTTAAATTCTTATACTTTGAATTAAATTGCAAATACGAAGATTGAAAAAGAAAAAGTAGAAAGAGATTCCATTATATTACTGGAGAAGCCCGCGGACAGTTTTAGGAGAATTGATTGATGAGTTACGGATTTAGTTTGGCTAATGACGGACAGTTTTCTATCATGTAGAATGCAGTTTTAATTTCTACATGCAGTTTTAATTTGTTGCTAAAATTTAGGGATTAGGAGATGGAGCCATGAAGGTAATCTTGTTTGGGAGGGAAAATATTAATTTCAGCTTGACACATTACCAAATTTTCTCTCCCTGGTTTCTGCAATAATAAAATACTAAATATTTGGCTCAGGCAGATGTTCGGGCATCCCTTCTAAATTACTATTTTATTAAATCTAATTGAATTACTATTTTTTGAGAAATTAATTTGGCGTATATATCATTTATGCTATGGTTTGGAGTTTTAAAAAATATACCTATAAATATGAGGTTATAAGGAAATAATAAATAATTAGTTTTTTTTATTTTTTGTTTATATTAAGCCTGCAAACCTATACGATTGGACATTTGAATTTGAATTAATATATCCATTTGTTTGAAATGTAACTGATCCTTATTTGTAGCAAAACATGTGTTTGTTTTAAAAAAAAAATTATATAGCTTCTAATTAAAAGAGACTTACACGTGGCAAAAAAACTCCTGAAATCTAAAATATGGTGCATTGGAGCCAAAACAGATACATACATAATTGCCGCATAAGCTTCATGTCTTCTGCTTTAATAGGGTAAAAGGAATGTATATACTAGATGTTTGTCCCGCACCAATACCGAAGATCGCTTGTATTTATATTTGTCAATGAAAAAAGTAATTCATAATTCAAATATATATAAATTATAATAGGTGTAATAGAATAGAAGGGATTAGATATCGCCGGGGTCGCCTATATTTAAATTTGTCAATGAAAAAAGTAATTCATAATTCATATATATATATATAAATTATAATAGGTGTGGTGTAATAGAGTAGAGGGGATTAGATACCACCATTTAAAAATTTTAGGGGAATACATGAGCCAAATATTACAAAATATTGGTTCTAACTTCTAAGTTAATGGAATCACTTGGTAACTTCGTAAAATTGTTCTCTGCCTATTTACAACATATTGTCCCCCAAAAGTAGCTAATACAACATCAAAGTGCAGCCCAAAATGCAAGACTCATTGACTTTTTTGCCACATGGACACACACTGCCGAGAAAAATCAGCATTAGACTAGCACTTCAAAATTTCAGCATAGAGGCATTGGAAAGATGATGCATAGAGTTTTTCAACAGCAGGGGTAAAATATGATGCTGAGATCCCCTAAAGCTTGACGAAAAATGCGAGCATTTCCACCAAATAACCATAGTATTGCAGAATTAAAGATAGTGACTCCAACCGAAATAGAATAGCAGGAATACTTCTCCATTTTAGTAAATGATCTATGCCACTTAATCTCCCCACATGTCCATTAGTAATCAACACATTACGCAAAGAACAGGGAAAAAGATATGACCTGTAAAGACAAACAAACAGATCAACCCAATCAGTAGAGCATATGGATACATTTGGTACCAACACGCTTCTCGTACACAACCTCTAATTTAAAAAAAAAAAAACAGAATTGACCTGATTCCGTTCAAGTTATGCATGAATAGGAGAATCGTACAGTATTATACTCTGCTAAAATGCAAGCAGTACAAATTTAATGTTATCCATTCAATGAAATATAAAATTGTTCAGTCTTTTGAAAACCTAACAGACTTCATGTTGCACTCAATAGCTCTCTACCTTGATCACTGAACTGTGGAATTCACTGAACTTGATCATCGACAATCTCACAAGGGCTTGCATAACACCAATGACATTTAAAATCTTCCCAATAAATTTATTTTCCTAGAGAGAGCTATCAAAGCAACAACACAAATAGTAGAGCAAGTGCGAAAATCATTAGCACAAAACTGAGCTCACTTTCACATAATATATCAAGTTCATCAGAATATAGAAACAGAATGATGTCTCGAACTAACATGTAACTTGAGGATCCATTTGATAGCTACAGCATCTGGAGCTGCCTTGCTTCTACAAACTCCAACTGAACTCAGGAGAGTTTGTGTGGTGAAAACGCCCATTGATCTACCAAAAAAGTGCTGCATACAACATTATACTTGTCATTGGCTGACTTGATAGAGATAGAGAAATCAAATTTGAAACATATGAATGGAACATAAGAAGGCGAAACACTATCTGGAAAGCCTTCAGGAATGATAAGACCTTATAAATGACAACAATTCCTGCACCACCTAGTAAACGTTTTCATCAAATCCTTAAAGATAGAAAAGATAAAAGCAGCTTTATTTTACTTTCCTTCCAGCGATTCTATGGACAAAAATGCCTAACTTCTTCAATACGGAAAAAGAAGTTTCCTAGGACTATAAAATAAGAAAATTAAAAAGGAATTCAGTAACCTTTATTTTAAGAGTGGAATTGTCAATTTGAGTGAAGTTTTACTGTTACGAATGACATAAATGAACAATATGAATAACTGCAATCTAAACTACCTAAAGCAATATAGAAACAAATGATGTCTAGTTTGTTCCCGTCCTAAAAGACGCCCAAACTACCACCTTTGCACTAAACCCACAAATCAAAACAGCAATATAAACACCCACAGGCATATTATATGAATTATGGTAGAATAATTCATAACCATGATGCAATTCAGAACGAACTTTCTTCCTTT